TTGCAAAATGCAGCAAAAGAGGCCATGCAGGACCCTGTACACCTTCTCCAGCATGTTTGCCAACCTATTGAACTAGTTCTACTGAAAAGCACTAAAGTGCAAACCCTCGGCGAACTGTGCATGCGCGGTACCATTATTGATGTGGACTGGCTATATAGTGTGCGTTTACTCATTGTCTTCTGTCTTCAACCTAGTCACGTGCTAGCTACACTATAGATGCATACGCCATTAGTTGTGACTACGTGAGCTCCAAGTACATGCAAAGCGGCCGGGGTTCAGCCCAGGACGCGATATGCATATTCGCTTTTCGTGGCATTGTTTCATGGCATATCTCTGACACACGCAGTCGTTTCAGGAAAATGGCCTAATCGTGCTCGCGTAGTTCTGCAGTACGTTGGTATCACTCACTGGCCGCCTCGGAGCGCCTGCTAGTGCAAGATCGCTGCTGACAGACACGACAGACACACACACAGAACGACTACTGTAACCCTCCAGCTTTTTCTCTCTTCCTTCACTCGCATTAGCGCTCGATGGTTAATAACGTGATGTGTGTAGTCCACCCACTGAGTTGGCGCTCTTTGCCTCTAATTGGAACTGATACTACTGTGCCCTACAGCTCGTAGTCACCACGGTCCTCTCTCTCCTGTTCAGCGGCTGCAGGTCCGCCCGCCCCACCTCGCTCCTGTTCCATCTTCTGCAGTCTCTGTCAGCTCCCAGCTCTCCTCGCTGTCTACGACCGCGCTGCCTCCTCTACCACTGCCTCCTCTGGGATACACTGCCATCCACCACTCACCCAACACTCGTGTGAGTTCTGAGCTGATGTAATTATTAGATGACATTTTTGGCCAGCGGGAGCGATCCAACTACAGATATACAGCCACTGGTGATCACAGGGAGGAGTATAGTTTGTCATCCTCCGCTGCTGGAGGTGTGCCTCTCGTGCGTGCGATGCCAGCGAGAAGGGCGTGCTTTCCAGTCCTCAGCTGGTAGACGCTGCCGTCTGCGAGCTATGTCTCGTGCTCCTTGGCTGTTTCTAGAGCAAGAGGCTGCCTCCTGCGAGCTCCCCTGTGGTAGAGGCGTTGTTGTGCTGGGATCGATGACAATACGCACAGGTGTAGATGCATAGGATTGGACAAAGAAGACTGAATTCTATGGCTTTTGCCTTGGGAACTACAAGTTTTAGTGGATGGTTGTTTCTCAGTTCACTAATCACTTGTTGCCTGGAGTAAATGAACAATAGAAAAGTGTATCATAATAATGTAACACACTTCCTTATCCGCAATTAGTGCAGCTGTCTGGGCCTCTGGACTGTCAAAACTGTTTAGGCAAACACACCTCATAAGGAGCATCAAGTGTTTGTGGCTAATCAATGGCTGCCCAGGTACTCCTGCCAATGCCGCCCTAGCAAAGACAGCATTTTGGTTTAGTCCAGCGAGGGCTTATAGGCGTGTCAAACCTACAGTGAAGTTGTAGGTTGATTGTTTGAACAGAGCCCGCTCGCTGCACACCATGGCTTGGGTATTACACATAGTAACAGTAGTGTGGCTCGATTGCATTCCTTGTGGCCACTGGAACCTCCATACTTTCTATATGGGACATACATGTAACTTTGTTAGCGAGTGTCAGACGTAAACACAGGCTGGCTCTACGGAACCTTACGTGCTTTGAACATCTGGTTTTGGCCGTAGTTTAGCGGAGTTACGGCGGATTTCCTGAGTGTAAGGGGCATGTATTGCCTTCACATGCTACCAAGTAGTGTAGCTAGCTCCTGTCTCACTCTCCACGAGCATGCAAGAGACCACGAGTACGGTGGTATAACCCAGCCCATCAATTAGTGGTACCGCACATGCGTTTACCTGTGTGGTGTGCACCGAGGGTGTGCACTTCAGTGCATTATTTTGTAATTATAATCACAGATGAGAACAAAAACACATGTATGGTGTTGAATTACACTATGGTGTTTTTGCCTAAGAAAACAGACCATCAATTACTACATTATTTGCATACTTGCTTGAAGAACTAAAGTGCATATCCTCTGGAAACTGTGCATGCACAATATTGCTAATTGATGGGCTGGGCTATGTGTATGCATTTACTTGTGGTCTCCCGCTATGGGCTAGCTAGTAGTAGATAGCATGCCATTCGTTGTGACTTCTTGTGCCTTCAAGGTACACAGAGCGAGCAGATCAGGTCGCAGTAAGCCCAGTGCAATTATGCATATTGGCTTTTTCGCTTGTTTTCACGGCATATCTCTCGAACGCAGTCGTTTCAGGAAATCACCCTTTTATTTTTCAGGCTCGCGTAGTTCTGAAGCCGCTGGTATCGCTAATAGGCCGCCTCGTAGCCTGCAGTGCCTGAATAAGCGTCGACACACAGACAGACAGACAGACAGACAAACCAACTACTGTAACCCTCGCTGTGCATGCGCACCGAGGGTTAATAATTCTGGGTAACTTTATGCTAAGTATACCTTTAACTCCTATATTTCAGATCCAATAGCAATCTCGAGACAAGCCGTGAAGGATGGCTCCTTCAGTCCAGAGTGCGTGGCCCGTCCTCTCACTCCTGACCAGAAGATGTGGCTCCCCACTCCTGCAGAAGGTAAGGAAGTCTTCACCATATTATGTATGTACTGGATGAGAACTAAATGAACTTGTGCAGCATCTGGTCAAGGAAAAAAGGAAAAGAAATCCAAGAAGAAGGCTGTAACGACTCCTCCTCTAACAAGTATGCCTCTATTCTCTATACAACACTTCTGTACATTCTGAAAATACATGACTTGCTATTCAAATGTATATTACTTGTTTTCCTGTCTCCTCCAGTCTCAGATGTAGTGCCTACAATGCCACAATTTATCAAGATTAAATTGCCCTCACGAGTTGGGCCCAAAGTGACTGCATTTGGTACCATTCTTCTGAAAGATGACCTCGGGAACAAGATGGCCAACATCAAAAAGAGTGCCCGGGATGACCCAGTGGAAATGGTAATGGAGGTTCTGAGGGAGTGGCTGGCAGGGAAGGGGGTGGAGGTGTCGTGGGAGAGCCTCATAGCAACTCTGAGAGACTGCGAACTTTCACTTATGGCCTACCAGATACAGATGGCACTGGACCAACTAAGATCTTGATGCATTCTGTTCCTAATTTTTCATGTTGACAATGTATTATGTTTTTGTAAATTATTTTTTATAATGGACAATTTTTGTATCACTCCTTGTTTTTTGTCTCATCTTTTTTGACATGGTTGGCCTGACATGAAAATTACATTAGTGTGTGATATGCTTGTACATGAATTTTTTTACTTTTTTACTCCGCGCACATTCCAAGTATCCGAAGGTGCAGACTTCCGTATATTATAGGCCCAACGGTTCGATCGACAATACGCATGCGCAATATAAATCCGCGCATCTCCGTATACTAGAAAAGTAGACCTCGCCCACCGTTCCGGATATCCCAGCGAGCGTGGGGCTCAGGTTCATCTCTTCGCCATTTCTCTCTCCCCGCCCCGTATCCAGGCACGCTCTCTCTCCTCACCCGGCCAGCCAGGCTCCATCTTTAGCTTCCCCACTCGTCCTCGTATCGAGAGGAAAGAAGGACAGCAGTAATGGGCGTCGCTGCAGCTACTCGTGTGGTCTGTCTGTCGGCGCTGTGTCTGTGTGTCGGCGTGAGGGGGTTCTACATCCCTGGAGTGGCGCCCACGGAGTACGAGGAGGGAGACAAGCTGGAGATTAAGGTCCGTTTGACCGTCTCGTGGGATGGGTTAGCGGATGGAGCGGGAGTGATGAAATGGGGGGTGGAAAGCAGTCATCAGACAATGCCTATGACTTTTTCTTACCTTCCGTTCCTCTTAGTGAGGGTTTGTTTCTACATAGGGAGAGGAGAAATCAACAAATCACATCAAAACCAAGAAATCACTTTACAGTTACCACTGGTTGCATGTTCAAATAGCTGCATTTAGGAGTTGTGTAAATATTGCTGTGATCATTCCCCCCTCCCCTCCCTGCAGGCAGTAAAGATGACAAGTATAAAGACCCAGCTCCCGTACGAGTACTATTCTCTACAGTTCTGTAAACCAAAGGACGGAGATGTACATTACAAGACACTCAACCTTGGTGAGCCACTCTCTATTATATCTAATGTATGGCGGGTTTAACTTACCTTTCGACAACTTTAAATGTCTCCCTTTTTCTCCCAACAGGTGAAGTGCTCAGAGGTGACAGAATAGTAAACACCCCATACCAGGTAACTTAGGGCAGTCCTTGCAGCAGTGGGCATTAAATAGAATACCCACACCTGCTGGGAATGTAACCAGATCGCTGCATAGCACTTTGACCGTTAGCTATGCAACCACTGTCAGTAGGTACTGTATGTACCACAGCCTATGAACTTATCATCCACTTTTCCTGACAAAA